GTGTGTGTGTGTGTGTGTGTGTGTGCGTGAGCATGTGCGTGTGAGCATGTGTGTGTGAGCATGTGTGTGTGTGTGTGTATGTGTGTGTGCCTGTATGTGTGTATATGTGTGTGTGTGTGTATGTGTGTGTGCGGGTGTACTCGTGAGCTCTATGTGTATCACTGCGTTAGTCAAGTTAGTGCACCTTGAACGTCTGGAGACTTTTTCATATATAAAAGCATTACAAAGAATTAATCAGAATAATTGAGAGAATGGTAATACCTGAAAAAATCTTATCTCGAAATCCGCTACATCGCTGTCCTACTATATTTTTTCCCGTTGAATTTGCTGTCTTTGCCTGTTTAGCTTGTCTTTCCCGGTTGTAGAATGAGCGTTATCTGTATGATGTGCTCATCTCTACTTGAAAAAAAAAGGCTCACACTGGAGGTAAATCCATCGCTATGTACCGGTACGTCCAAAAGTGTAGTCCACTCTCAAAGTCCTATCTATAAACTCTCTCTCTCCACCACTGTTCTTGTAACAGGGAGCAGCGGTGAAGTGAGGGGTCTCTCGTTTATGAGCACGCCACTAAAAGTAAAATGGGCTGGTTGATGGTTGTAGTGACCCGAATTTGAATGATCTGACAACGCGATTTGAGGGATCCGAAAATAATATGGGTAAAGTATTTGATTAGGCCAGTTTTATGTGTTTTTTCTCATGATTTATGGAGCGAGCACACTCGTAAACCACCTGTTTTTTTGTTGCACTTCCCTGACATCACGTTTATCCGGTTGTCTTCGCGGTTGTAAACATTATGTTTTACTTTTACATCAGCGTCTGTGGTGTAGCGGTCAGGCGCTTCGCTGTCGCACTGTCGCACACAGGGTACCCGGGTTTGATTCCACAGCGGAGATAATTTTTATCGAGTATTAATTGCTGGGCTGTTGTAATCCTCTCGGCTAGGATTGGCTCTGACACGCGCACACACACGCGCGCGCATACACACATACACATAAACATACATATACACAAACACACGCATGCACTATCATGCACATAAACAGAAAAGTAAGGCATGCACATATACCCAAACATACACGCACACACACACATATGCACGCACGCACGCATGCACAGACATAAGGACACACACATAGTCACACACAGATATACGCACTCACACACAGAGACTCGAAAACATACACACACACACACACACACACACACACACACACACACACACACACGCACGCACACACACACACACACACACACAGACACACACACATATACACACTCACACACACAGGCACGCACACACACGCACGTGCACTCTCGCACACACACAAATACATGTACGCACAGACACACGTACACGCACAAACACACATTCACACACTAGCACACACACATAGACACACAGAAGCACAAAAACACCACACATAGACATACACAGACACACACATACGCACATACGCGCGCGCGCGCGCGCGCACACACACACACACACACACACACACACACACACACACACACACACACCAAACAAACATAAAAAAATAAAACCTTTTATTATCTTTTTCGTGTATGAAACGACTTATTGGGTGAATGTGAACCTCAATTATTGCTTCATGGCTCACGCATCAAAAGATTGATAAAACAGTGTATGTGATGTACATGAAACTGTATGACGCTTAAGTTACGCGGGGTGTCCTTTGGGGGAATCGGGTCGGGTCGGGTCAGTTCGCTAGCCAGATTGAGGGCTCAAAGCGGCTTTCGTGGCACAAGCCGATCGCGCCCGATTGATCGTCGCCTCAAAAACAAACGCAAAGTTTGTTTTCAGGTGACGAGGCGGGAGAGCATCCCGACCCGACCCGACCCGACCCGACCCGACTCGATCCCCAATTGGGCAGTATTATTAGCAGTCACAGGCAAAAGAGTTCGATTCAATTGTGCATTGTCGTTTGTGTGTGCTCTAGAAACACATGTATTTTATCGGAATTCAAACTCTAATTGTCGACAAAAGCAATAAAAAAAATGTATTTATATTATGTTCGTAAAAAATTGTTACAGAAATGAATCAAGTTGGGTTTTTTCTTTTCTTTCTTCTGCAAAATTTTACTTTCTGAGCTTAGTAAATACAGAGAGTATTTTATTATATCTAAGAGTCTCTGGTAAATATTAAAAGTTTGCCAAATGATAAAGAAAAGTAGAAGTCTGAAACCACGCGTGAGTTTGATGATTAATGGGGAAAATTGTCGTCAAATTTCCGATGAGTCCTCGCATCCTAACTTTTGTACTCAAAGTGCAGCGCAGATGGGGTTGGGAGTTTTCCCTCGCGCTATTTTTGTCACATATGTGGACTGTTGGGTGAGTAACTGCATGGCCTAGCCGCAGGCGCTCACCTCAGCATAGCTTCATTGATTTAGGTTTCGAGTGCGACAGCTTGTAGCGAGGCCAGTGCTCTCAGTGTCAATGTTCGGAGGCGGGGCTGCCACGTTAAAAGGAGGCGGGTGGGAAGGTGGGGTCCTGGGTGGAAAAAT